TCTGATGAGTTGGGACTGAATTAAAGTAGAGGACCTGCCACAACTCTCTGTCTGAGCGTTGAATCGCAGACAAGTGTGAGTTTCACGTCACATCTGCTATATATCCATCCATTATCTTCCGCTTGTTCCAAAGTCGGGTCACGGGGGCAGCAGCTTGAGCAGGGAGGCCCAGACATCTCTTTCCACAGCCACCTCTTCCAGCTTTTCTGGGAGGATTCCAAGATGTTCCCAGGCCAACCAAGAGACATAGTCTCTTCAGCGTGTCCTGTGTCTTCCCTGAGGACTCCTCCCAGTTGTACATGTCTGAAGCACCTGCCTAGGGAGGTGACCAGGGAGCATCCTTACCAGATGCCCGAACCACCTCAACTGGCTCCTCTCGACATGGAGGACTAGCGGTTCTAGTTCGAGTCTCTCCCGCATAACTGAACTTATCACCCTATTTCTAAGGGAGAGTCCAGCTACCCTGCGGAGAAAGCTCATTTCAACAGCCTGCATCCGCAATCTCATTCTTTCGGTCACTACCCAGAGCTCATGACCATTGGTGAGGGTAGGAACGTAGATCGACTGGTAAACAGAGATCTTTGCCTTACAGCTCAGCTCTCTCTTCACCACAATGGACCGGTATAGAGTTCGCACTACTACAGATGCTGCACCAATCCGTCTGTCAATCTCACGCTCTATTCTTCCCTCACTCGTGAACAAAACCCCAAGGTACTTGAACTTTTCCACTTGAGGCAGAACCTCACCCTCGACCCGAAGAGAGCAATCCACCCATTTTTTTTTGAGGACCATGGCCTCAGATTTGGAGGTGCTGATTCTCATCCCAGCTGCTTCACACTCTGCTGTGAACCACTCCAGTAAGAGCTGAAGATTATGGCACAATTACGCCAACAGGACCACATCATCTGCAAAGAGCAGAGATGGAATCCTGAGCCCACCGAACGGGAAACCCTGCACCAGCTGGCTGCGCCAAGAAATTCTGTCCATAAAAGTCATGAACAGAAACTGTGACAACGGGCAGCCCTGGCGGAGTCCAACTCCTACCCAAAGGGGTTCAACTTACTACTGGCAATGCGAACCAAACTCTTGCACCACTTGTATAGGGACTGAACAGCCTGTAACATTGAGCCCCCAATTCCATACTCACAGAGCAACCCCCACAGCATACCCTGAAGAACACGGTCGAATGCCTTCTCCAAGTCCACAAAACACATGTAGACTGGATGGGCAAACTCCCATGACCCCTCGAGGACCCTAGTGAGGGTAAAGAGCTGATCCAGTGTCTCACAGCCAGGACAAAATCTACATTGTTCCTCCTGGATCTGAGGCTCGACCAACGATTGGACTCGCTTTTCCAGTACCCCTGAATAGACCTTACCAGGTAGGCTAAGGAGAATGATGCCCCTATAATTGGAGCACACCCTCCGGTCCCCCTTTTTGAAGAGGGGAACCACCACCCCAGTCTACCAATCCAGTGGCACTGCCCCCGATGTCCACTCAATGTTTCAAAGGCATGCCAACCAAGACCGTCCCACAACATCTAGAGCTTTAAGGAAATCAGGGTGAATCTCATCCACTCCTGGAGCCCTGCTGCCTTGGAGCTTTTTTTAACTACCTCAGCGATCTCAGCCACAGTTATGGACAGATGAACCCCAAAGTCCCCCGACTCGACTTCCTCCATGGAAGACGCTTTGGTGGGGTTGAGAAGGTCCGAGAATATGCCTTGCACCTCCCAACGACATCACTCGTTGAAATCAACAGCACCCCATCTTCACTGAACACAGTGTTAGTAAAGTGCTGCTTTCCCCTCAGTCGCCTGATGGTTTGCCAGAATCTTCTCGGAGCCGACCGAGAATCTCTATCCAAGGTCTCAC